CCCCCTCCTCTTCCTTCTCTACCTCCTCTTCCTCCTCTTCCTCTTCCTCCACCTCCTCTTCCTTCTCCACCTCTTCCTTCTCCTCCTTCTCCTCCTCCTCCTCCCCCTCCTCTTCCTCCTTCTCCTCCTCTTCCTTCTCTTCCTCCTCTTCCTCTTCTTCCTCTTCCTCTTCCTCCTCCTCCTCTTCCTTCTCTTCCTTCTCCTCCTCCTCTTCCTCCCCCTCCTCTTCCTCCTCTTCCTTCTCCCCCTGCCCCTCCTCCTCCTCTTTCAAGTTTTAACAAAGGCAGATGAAGGCAGGGCCTTGGCAGGGCAGGTCCCAGGGCTGAGACCAGTGAGCACCCCCACCCGCCCTAACTTGTCTCCGAGGTTCACCAGCAGCGGGCGTGCACTTGCCCTGAAACAAGCTTGTGCTTTCCCCCCAAGCCTGCCGTTGCCTGCGAGGCTTCACTTCACAGATCTCTTTGATAGTCCGTTCCCGGCTCCCTAAATCGTAGCCGTTAGGCCAGGAGCATGGCTCGCAAGGCACTTCCTTGCTGCAGGCTGTAGCTGCTGTGGGTAAGCACATCGTTCTTGTTCCATCTCACGGGAGGAAACTGAGGATCAGGGGATGAATTTGGGTGACCTGGCCAGCGTCAGGACGGTGCCGAGACTGCCCTTTTCCTCTTTGGCAGGTGTCAATGCCATGTGTGAGATTCTGGGAATCAAGTCTTAATAAATAGTTGTTCCTCCATTCCCCAAAAGGTAGACAAGGGATCCTGGGGCCCAGAGGAGGCTCCTCACACACACTCAGAGCGCTGGCTTCTCGGGCCCAGTGGTCCGCTCCCGCACTGCCCCCCGCTCACACACAGCCAAGTCTTCCCCAGACCCACCACTAAGGTGGCTGAGGCTTTGGGCTTTCTTTTGAATCCAGACAGCACTCTGGTCTCATCACAGATGCCTGGAAAAACACTCTGGCCCAAAAGGGCTGCCTTTTGGGGGTGGAGAGAGCACACCTGGGAGAAGCCACCTGTTGAGACTTTGTCCAGAGACATTGTAGTCTGGTGCTGACTTGGGACTGAACAGCCCGTTAGTCCGTAATTACGCCCATCAGTAGATTACCTGATGCCCGTTTTGTCCCCAGATACCATGAGCACCTTGAGAGCCAGGACCCCAGCACCGGGCCTGGCCCAGAGCAGACAGGGGGAAGTGTCTGTTGAATGAATGAGTGAATGGAAAAGTGAAGGAGAACAGGCACACAGGCAGGTGAGGCAGCAGGCCTCCTGCTGTCAGATACGCGGATAGGCCAGGGTCCAGACCGGCAGGCGGGGCAAGGCGAGGGCGCACTCCTTCCATTTCCCCTTGATGTGCTTTACCAGGCCTCTTGCTCTGCCCCTTCCTGAACGGAAAATGTGAGGCCTGGCCTCCAGAAGGGATGCATGGGGGTGGAGAGCGGACATTACTCACCTCCCAGGCAGACAGGAAGCCAGCGCCAGGGGAGAGCTGAGGGTCCTGCTTCTGTCTTCCTGCAGGGTCATCAGGAGTTGCTGGCCAGGAGCTGTGTGGCGTCCTGGGGCATTTCATGACCTCTTGTTTACCCCACTTAGATGAGACCACCGCGCTCCAGCCTCGGGCCTCTGGGACCCGCTGAGCCTTGGAGTTTCCCTTCCTCTAGGGGCATGGGACCAGCGCTTCCTGCCTGCTGCCCCTTCAGTGCCCATCACCATGTCATGAGGCTGGACAAGGCATTGAGGGTCCTGGCTTAAGTTTTTGGTTCTCTCAGGGCTCTTCATCAGTTTTGTCATGTGAATAGTGAGCCCCAGTCAGTGGCATGCAAGGTCGGTAAGCCCGTCTCTGCCTTCAAGGAGC